AAATGAAAAAAAGTTAGGGGTTCAAAGTGTAGCAAGAGCAATACTGAACTGGCTTTTGCTTTGACATACAGTGAAAAGTTTGAAAGTGACAGGGTAACCACATTGTCGATTAAAATGTTCTACATTTTTGTCCCATTTAGACCATGAAAAAAAGTACTAGGGGCTACATTTTTCTGCCCAGGTCCAACCCATGTATGGTTAGCCCATGCTCATGTCATGTTAGTTTAATGTGGACAGCCCACATTGGGCTTCTCATGTGGGGCCCATGATACTGAAACCACATGGGCCCCAAATAGTGTTGCCCATTTCTGTCCCATTTCCAGTTAGCCCACATTGTTGCTGTATAGGGCCCATACATTTAGCCCAAATGGGCCAGCCCATACGGGTCCCATTTTAGTTAACCATATGTGTCCCATGAGGTTTGCCCAGATAAACCCATGACCACTCATTACCCATATGGCCTACTACAAACCCAAGGGGGGCCCACTCATGCGTACTGGCTTGGAGACTGGACTGGACTGTTCTAGCATAAAATAATAACATGAAAAACTGTTAAGGGTTCAAAGTGTGGCTAGAGCAATACTGAACTGGTTTAAAAAAATAAAGCATTGTAGAATTATTTTTAATGTTTTAATATCCTGGTCCTCTGGAAGCCTAGTGTTTGTAAATGAGCCAGGCATAGATATCACACAGTGAACATGTTTTAGGTTCAAACATTAGGAAGACATGGATGTTCTGTTCTATCAGCAAAATATATCCTTGGGTGATCTCCAAGACGAGGTCACCTTCGTCCTGGAGACCTCGACAATGGTCAAGGTCACCAACCTTTACTATCGTCGAGGTTTCCTACAAGGAAAAAATTAAATTCTACAATTTACCTTACATCAACTCCATTAGAGGCCAGCTGAGTAACAATTGCCTTGGCAAAGACTATAAAGCTGACATCTCGGGTAATTCTTTCCAAGTTTTGAGAATCTTGCTCTTGCAGCTTTTGCTTTGACATACAGTCAAAATTTTGAAAGTGACAGGTTAACTACAGGGGTTGGACAATGAAACTGAAACACCTGGTTTTAGACCACAATAACTTATTAGCGTGGTGTAGGGCCTCCTTTTGAGGCCAATACAGCATCAATTCGTCTTGGACAAGTATGGGCCAAGGGAATGCCATGATATGGCAGCCCACACCATCAATGATCCACCCCATGCTTCACTCTGGCATACAACACTCTGGCTGGAATGCATCTTTGGGGCTTCTCCACACCGTAACTCTCCCGGATGTGGGAAAACAGTAAAGGTAGACTCATCAGAGAACAATACATGTTTCACATTGTCCACAGCACAAGATTTTCGCTCCTTGCACCATTGAAACCGACGTTTGGCATTGATACGAGTGACCAAAAGTTTGGCTATAGCAGCCCGGCTGTGTATATTGACCATGTGGAGCTCCCGACGGACAGTTTTGGTGGAAACAGGAGAGTTGAGGTGCACATTTAATTCTACCGTGATTTGGGCACCGTGGTTTTATGTTTTTGGGATACAATCCGGGTTAGCACCCAAACATCTCTTTAAGACAGCTTCGTCTTGCATCCACAGTTAATCCTGTTAGATGTGATTCGTCATTCTTGGTGGTATGCTGACATTACCCTGGATACTGTGGCTCTTGATAATCACAAAGACTTGCTGTCTTGGTGAACAATTTGCCCTCTTTTGAACTCCAGTATGTCCCAAATAATGTTATGTGCATTGCAATATTTTGAGCAAAACTGTGCTCTTACCCTGCTAATTGGACCTTCACACTCTGCTCTTACTGTTGCAATGTGCAATTCATGAAGATTGGCCACCAGGCTAGTCCAATTCAGGCATGAAACCTCCCACACTAAAATGAGAGGTGTTTTCAGTTTCATTGTCCATCCCCTGTACATTGTTCTACACTTTTCTCTCACCTAGCCCACTTAAAAAAGGACTGGGGTCTACATATCCACACCCAGGTCCAACCTGGGCGTGGATATGTACTGACCACACTGAACCCACAGTGGGTTCAGTGTGGTCAGCCCACATGGTCTCCCCATGTTGGGCCCATGATACTGAAACCACATGGGCCCCACATAGTTTTGCCCAGTTTTATCCCATTCCCAGATAGCCCACTTAAAAAAGGACTGGGGCCCACATATCCACACCCAGGTCTAACCCATATATGGTCAGTCCATGCTGATGTCATGTGGGTTCAATGTGGTCAGCCCACATGGGCTTCCCATGTTGGGCCCATGATACTAGAACCACTGGGCCCCACATACTGTTGCCCAGTACTATCCCATTCCCAGATAGCCCACTTAAAAGAGGACTGGGTCCCACATATCCACACCCAGGTCTAACCCATATATGGTCAGCCCATGCTGATGTCATGTGGGTTCAATGTGGTCTGCCCACATGGGCTTCCATGTTGGGCCCATAATACTGAAACCACATGGGCCCCATATAGTGTTGCCCGTTTCTGTCCCATTCCCAGATAGCCCACTTAAAAAGGACTGGGGCCTACATATCCACACCCAGCTCTAACCCATATATGGTCAGCCCATGCTGATGTCATGTGGGTTCAATGTGGTCTGCCCACATGGGCTTCCCATGTTGGGCCCATGATACTGAAACCACATGGGCCCCATATAGTGTTGCCCGTTTCTATCCCATTCCCAGATAGCCCACTTAAAAAAGGACTGGGGCCTACATATCCACACCCAGGTCTAACCCATATATGGTCAGCCCATGCTGATGTCATGTGGGTTCAATGTGGTCAGCCCACATGGGCTTCCCATGTTGGGCCCATGAAACTAGAACCACATGGGCCCCACATACTGTTGCCCAGTACTATCCCATTCCCAGATAGCCCACTTAAAAAAGGACTGGGGCCCACATATCCACACCCAGCTCTAACCCATATATGGTCAGCCCATGCTGATGTCATGTGGGTTCAATGTGGTCTGCCCACATGGGCTTCCCATGTTGGGCCCATGATACTGAAACCACATGGGCCCCATATAGTGTTGCCCGTTTCTATCCCATTCCCAGATAGCCCACTTAAAAAAGGACTGGGGCCTACATATCCACACCCAGGTCTAACCCATATATGGTCAGCCCATGCTGATGTCATGTGGGTTCAATGTGGTCACCCACATGGGCTTCCCATGTTGGGCCCATGAAACTAGAACCACATGGGCCCCATACTGTTGCCCAGTACTATCCCATTCCCAGATAGCCCACTTAAAAAAGGACTGGGGCCACATATCCACACCCAGGTCTAACCCATATATGGTCAGCCCATGCTGATGTCATGTGGGTTCAATGTGGTCAGCCCACATGGGCTTCCCATGTTGGGCCCATGAAACTAGAACCACATGGGCCCCACATACTGTTGCCCAGTACTATCCCATTCCCAGATAGCCCACTTAAAAAAGGACTGGGGCCCACATATCCACACCCCAGGTCTAACCCATATATGGTCAGCCCATGCTGATGTCATGTGGGTTCAATGTGGTCAGCCCACATGGGCTTCCCATGTTGGGCCCATGATACTAGAACCACATGGGCCCCACATACTGTTGCCCAGTACTATCCCATTCCCAGATAGCCCACTTAAAAAAGGACTGGGGCCTACATATCCACACCCAGGTCTAACCATATATGGTCAGCCCATGCTGATGTCATGTGGTTCAATGTGGTCAGCCCACATGGGCTTCCCATGTTGGGCCCATGATACTGAAACCACATGGGCCCTATACTGTTGCCCAGTACTATCCCATTCCCAGATAGCCCACTTAAAAAAGGACTGGGGCCTACATATCCACACCCAGGTCTAACCCATATATGGTCAGCCCATGCTGATGTCATGTGGGTTCAATGTGGTCTGCCCACATGGGCTTCCCATGTTGGGCCCATGATACTGAAACCACATGGGCCCCATATACTGTTGCCCAGTACTATCCCATTCCCAGATAGCCCACTTAAAAAAGGACTGGGGCCCACATATCCACACCCAGGTCTAACCCATATATGGTCAGCCCATGCTGATGTCATGTGGGTTCAATGTGGTCAGCCCACATGGGCTTCCCATGTTGGGCCCATGAAACTAGAACCACATGGGCCCCACATACTGTTGCCCAGTACTATCCCATTCCCAGATAGCCCACTTAAAAAAGGACTGGGTCCCACATATCCACACCCAGGTCTAACCCATATATGGTCAGCCCATGCTGATGTCATGTGGGTTCAATGTGGTCTGCCCACATGGGCTTCCCATGTTGGGCCCATAATACTGAAACCACATGGGCCCCATATAGTGTTGCCCGTTTCTGTCCCATTCCCAGATAGCCCACTTAAAAAGGACTGGGGCCTACATATCCACACCCAGCTCTAACCCATATATGGTCAGCCCATGCTGATGTCATGTGGGTTCAATGTGGTCTGCCCACATGGGCTTCCCATGTTGGGCCCATGATACTGAAACCACATGGGCCCCATATAGTGTTTGCCCGTTTCTATCCCATTCCCAGATAGCCCACTTAAAAAAGGACTGGGGCCTACATATCCACACCCAGGTCTAACCCATATATGGTCAGCCCATGCTGATGTCATGTGGGTTCAATGTGGTCAGCCCACATGGGCTTCCCATGTTGGGCCCATGATACTGAAACCACATGGGCCCCATATAGTGTTGCCCAGTACTATCCCATTCCCAGATAGCCCACCTAGTTGCTGAATAGGGCCCATGCATTTAGCCCATATGGGCCGGCCCATATGGGTCTCTTTTAGGTTAACCATATGTGTCCCATGCAGTTCGCCCAGATAAAACCCATGCCCACTCATTACCCATGTAGCCCACATCAAACACAAGTGGGGCCCACTCATGCGTGCTGGCTGGGTCAGAGCTAAAGAACAACCTTTATTCAAGGGATTCAAGTCTTGGGACACAAATACAACCTTTTGCACTTCTGCTTTAACATACTCACTTCTTCCTCCACCTCAAACTCTGCTCCTCTCGTCTCTTTTTTCTGTTGGAGCTGCTGCAGGAGCTTCATCACTTGGACTCGCAATGCCTGATTCTTCTGGTGATACTTTTCCAGCTGGCTGACCTGTTACAGTTCATTTTAGTTAGCATTTGCAAGAACTTGATTAATGAAGCAAAATAAAGATAGATATTTGAGAAAATAATAAATGAGCATTAGAAAAACCAAAACAAATGAAACGAAAGGGATTGGCATGGTATTTTAGTAATGGTAATATTCCTGAGATTTGTCATATACAGAAAAAGGTGCACAATTAGTACAAAAGTCAGTGTACACGGCTTTTTTTCCAGCTGTTACAACGTGATTTTGTTAAGATTATAAATGCAGAAATATGCGAATAAGTAGTAGGAATTTCTTGCTAGAAGGAGCATCTGTTTTTGGATAACAAAAACAAGTATAAGGATACAGAAACTGTTCATATAATTTTCTTGCATGTGCTGTTATCATCTGACCGAAGCCCGATTTTACCTTCGATTTGTCTTCGATGTGCTGGAGCACCTTCTCTGGCTCCTTTACTTCCAGAAAACTGCCTTTCATAGATTTTAAGAATCTGCGTTCAAAATCTTTTTTGGCTTTCTTGATCTCGGTTGAACGCAAGTCAGCTTCTTTTATAAAAGACTGGAAAGCAAAGCAGAACCTCTGAACAAAAGTATCTCGAGTATGTCCATGTTTGTGTGAAAAAGCTTGCCGTAACCTTGTAGTTGTTCAGAATTCTCTCGTAGTTCGCTTTAAGTTGTTCCTGATCTGCCTGTGTCTCAGTTGCTTCTCTCTGTGCCACATAAAGTTTTTGCCCCAAGGTCAGCAGCTGGAGAGGCTCTGATAAATTGTACTGAGGGCTCTGCCTTCTCCCAGCTCCCTGAGGAGACGCACAAAAACATAAAAAGTCGACCGCAACAACATTTTTAGATTTTGGTGGTGTTTCAGCAAAGCAAGAAGGTCACTGCAACACTGTACTCAGTCTTAAATCAGATTTTTATATTTAAATAAAATTATGGACTTATACCCATATGACTTCCTGGGAGCAGAGCGGTTTGCTCCTCTTACTCCAAAAACAGTGGAGTTTTCAAATTTTATCGTTAATCGCACAGATTTTGTCACAGCAAATAAATACTTGTCTACTTCTGTAATATTACGAAGGGGAAAAAAAATAAGCCGTACAATCACATTACAATCTAGTATTCTCTCTGTCACTGGTAAGCCCAAGTCGGATGGGCCCTTCAATTAGAAGAGATTGTGATGGTTGACTCTGACACGCAGCAGCTCATTTGGGTTTGGTTTGTCAGACACAAAACTGGCCTATGTGGATCTTTCTGCTGAATTTTATCCCACTGTTTAATGCTCCACTTGAGTACAGTATTAATGGTTCATGCATTTTTTTTTCTGCCTGGGTTTTCTCACCCCACCATCCACGTTGGAGCTTTGTGTTGATTGCAGGCCTTCTCCCCCAGCTTTGGACTCCAAGTCCCGAGGATCCAGACGACCAATGAAGTGCTCGAACATGTCATTTTCTGCCAGGAGGGCCATATTACAAGTCCTATGACAAAGAAGGAATTGTCTTTATTTTAATTATACACTGGCTATTCGAGGTAGCTATCTGTTTGATAATACAAACACAAACAAAATTAGCACACAAATCTGCTTCTCTTGTGATTTAGAAGGTATAGCAAAGAAGAATAGCTGGACTTTACTTTTTAAAGTTCAGAAGTGAAGTCCTGTACGTGTACATGGAAAAGTACGTCAAACACGATAAACTGTAACACGCCAAGATGTTCTACATATTTATTTTTTTTACCTCAGTTCTTTAACTTGGTTGTGAAGAAGTTCTTTCCGTTTATTTACCGGATATTGCTCTTCTACTTCCATCAAGAGCTCTTCCGACTAGGTTGCTAGGAAAGAAAGCATTTAAACAGCGGTTGCTATGTCTCGCGTCGCGTTTCACGCACTGACGTACGTGACGTAAAAGTCCCAGACAATTAGATTCCTATTTTGAATTTGGGCTCGGTTTTCAAGTCGACAAGAATCATCTAAAGCGAAAATTGTTTTATTTTCTACGCTGTACTCTCACACCAGACTGTCATAATCTTAAATATTATAATTGGTCAGTTTTTTGGGAACACGTCAATGATGTTGCTTTTGTTTGTTTCTTTGTTTTTGTCCAAAAAAAGAAATAATTAAAAAAAAGAATTTCGACATAAGTGTCGGTTTCAGTTCTTTATAAATGGGCCTAAAATTATGTTCCCCCGTGAAATTGTTCCCCCTGTGTCGGGAGCGCGCATTGCAACGGGAGAGGCGGATGTGACGGATACGACCATTTTCACGGAACCATATTTTTTTAGCCGACTGAAATAATCCGTTCCCCCTTCCGTAACATGGGAAAAAAATTTACCAGCAGGTCTCTAACTCTGTTTATTCTTTTCGTCGACAACAATAAATCATGCGAGCTCGAAAGCATTTGCTCCTTATTTGACAAAGTTCGTTCTTGCCGAAAAATTGATCAGAAGCGCCGTGGGGGGAAAAAAAAGGTCACATCCGTCACTTCCGCCTCTCTGGCTGCAATGCGCGCTCCCGACCCAGGGGGAGCAGATGTTCGCAGGGGAGCAGGAATCCACACATCTTGTTACCTCAAGTCTGCTGTGAACAGTTTCCTCGAGGGATTTATTTGTTGCGTCCTCTTTCAAGATGGCGTCGACGAGTCATTCGAAATTAGTTTTCAAGCTCCTGTGCGACAATGACGGTTGTTTAGAGGTAAGGCAGCTGAACGCGAAGCTCGCGCAAAACAGCTTCGGAGTTAAGCTGGCGAACCTGCGTTCGGTTCTTTTCGACGACGGTAAAATTGCGATCCGGGAGGGCAGGCAGCGGGCTCCCGGGGGGAACTTCAGGCCTGACAGTCTGGTTGTGGCTAAAACCAGCTTGAGGCTTTGCCAGAGGAAAGCTGGGGAGTGCGGACATTGTGATGGTTTGCACTTGTGCAGGTATTTTGTTTGCGGAGGATGCACCTTCGGGTAAGTTTCTTCCAGTGTTGTATAAAGTACTGAAATCTCGGAGACAAGTAAAAGTATAGGTACCGCTCCAAAATATGACTTTGGTAAAAGTAAAAGTCACTGATTGAAATGTTACTTGAGTTAAAGTCTTAAAGTATCTGAAATGTCTTGTACTTAAAGTATGGAAATTACTGTAACAATGGATGTACTCAAGTAATGTAATGAAAAGTATAAGTAAAAAGTAAAACAAGTCAAATGCAGTTTGAATGACATTTTTTATATTTTGGTAAACTTGTCAAATACACTTAAAATAATGTACACAACCAAGTGCAGGCAAAATAAAACCTGCTAATAGATATACCTGCAGGCATCATATAGTTAAGAAAATTGGGTGCTTTACTTATATCACAAGGTTAACTTAACCTGCTTTACAACTGAACCAGCTTCTTAATAATCCCTCCAGGACAGAAAATACAAAGTTTCTATAAGCCTCAAATTTTCCCTTTCAGTAAGCTCAGTGCTGAAAATGAGAAAAATAGTCAGTACAGAAAATGCGGCCAACATGAAGAAAAAAACAAGTTACGATTACTCTATTTCACAAACTATAGGTGCACACAACTGGTCATTATGCAAAAGGAAGAAGAATTGGGAGGGAAATGCAGCTTATTTGGCATCTGAAGAGGGAAAGCTTTTTTGTTAACTTGGTGTTTAATGGGATAAGCGAAACAGACCTCTGTTGTTTAAAAAAAAAACAAACAAAACAACAGAATGCGTTTTTTGATTAATGAAGTTAATTAATTAGATGAATTTGTTTATTCAATACAAACAACTTCTTTAACTGGAAGATCTCGTGTCATTTTAGACCCAAGTGTAAAAATCCACACAGTTTGGCTTCTTCACACAACGCTGGTCTTTTGCAAAGGTTTGGCCTTCAGGATTTGTCAGAGAAACAACTTTTCCAGCTTTTACTGCAGAATGATCCTTTTCTGCTTCCTGAGGTAGGCATAAAACCATAATTAGAGCGATCTGTCATTATGCTTGACTTATTTAAATATTATTGTCCCCAATGACTTTCTGAAGGTCTGTCCACATTACAACAAGGGTGATGGTCCGTTTGGCTCCTGCCGATTCTCCACCTCCTGCACAAAGCTCCATGTTTGCCTGCATTCACTCCAGGGTGACTGCAGGTATGGCTCAAGATGCAAGAGAACCCATTCCATTGGACAAGGAATGAAGCTGTTCAAAGGATTCAGTCAGGAAAATATTCAAAACCTTTACAAGATCTACAGGAATAAATTAATCATCACTGGACAATGTGGACAGCACGAGACTCCAGCTGCTGCTGCTGGTCCAGGTAAGTTTCTTAAATAAAATGATGAATTTTGACAGAATTTTTCTCTTGATAATTGCTCTCCTTTTTTTTTTTGAGTATTATATGACATGTATTTTTGCATCTCCTGCAGTGTTTCCAGAGGTGACATTCAGTCATAAGCTGCCTTCCCTTCAGCCTCCCCTAATGAGACTTGGAAGTCCCACCAACTCTGTCAGTCCTTTAAAACCTAACAGTGAAGGTGAAAGGAATGAGATCTGCCTCTTTAATATTCGCAAAAACTGCAGCTTCAAAGGTACCTGCTGCTGGCTGAGCTGACCCATCCCACCTGACGTAAATTTAGTCCCTATGTCATGTTCTAAGTTGAGTTTTCCATCGCAGAGAAATGTGTGCGCGTCCACTGGAACCTACCGTACAAATGGGAGGTGTTACACAGTGACGGTGTTACTTGGAATCAGTTGCCTTTTATGGAAGAAGTTGAAAAGGCATATTCTGACCCAACATGCAAAACTAGCTCGGATCCACTGCTGTCGAGTCAAAATCTTGGGTAAAGAGAGACGCAAATATTCACTATTCGGATTGCAGATGTTTAGTGTTCTGTGATACACACAGAGTATAGAAACAGTATTAAAAACCCCCAAACTTAAAATTATTTTATCTAATAGATTAACACAAAATAGAGCGTAATGGTAAACTAAAGTAAAAATAACGCATCAATTTCCAGTCTAGTAAATTGGGCATGATATTTCTGCTTCTTTTACTCTGCACTCAAATTAAAACCAGTGCGACCAGTTACCTTCTGAAGTCACCTAATTTGTACATAAAGTTCCTTTTAATAAATTAAATCGCTTAAGCGTAGTGGTAGTAGCATAGCATCATGACTAAAATGATGGACAAAATGCAGACAGCTTTAAAAGGGTTAGACTACGCTATATATGAAGACATGCTGATAGCAGTCATATAGAAAATCTACTTTCCTTTCAGATCTAACAATAAGCGGCATGTTGATTTTAACACAATGACCTACAAAGGGTCTCCAGTTCGTCGCCTGTCCACGGCTTCTTCCGTCCTACATCCGCCACACTACATTCTGACAACTCAGTGGATTTGGTACTGGGAGGAAGACAGTGGTTTATGGATCGAGTATGGAAAGGTGATTGGAATATAACTAGTTTAACTACGCATTGCTATTTACAAAATAGAAACTAATTTTTCTACTTGTATGCATTTATAAATAATTTCTTTTAAAATCTTTTGCTTTCAGTTAATTCATCTTTAAAGTGCAAACTGTGTTGACATACTCTTATTTCTCCCTATATATGCAGAGAAAAAAAAAACTACATTAAGACAACTGCAGTACCAGATTGCATAATCTGGTGCTGCCAGTCAATACTTGGTTTCGATTGTCCTTTGTCTGTTGATGCTAATATGTGCTGCAGATGGTGAAACAGTAAACATTAAGAATAATATGCTTTAAGAACCGTTCATTATTCTCAACAGACAATCCTATTTGTTGCATCAGATTGTTGCCAGCAGAGCTACAGCTATGTATTTTCTGAGGTGTTTGTGTTTGCAGCACACAGCTACAAGACAACAGTGACCTGTCATTTTACTGTTAACTTTAAGGTAACCTGAAAATTTACAGGTTGATAGACGGAAATGGCATACCTACTGTCCGTCAACCACTTTGAAAAGCATTTTTCATCCCTGTGCATCATTATCCTTGTCCCTCGGAGAGGAGAGCTTTCTATTCTCCGCCTCTCCATCTGTAGCTCCATGTCATAAGATAATAAGTCAAATGAAAGAATAAGATTGCGCGTTCTCAATTAGGAGTACCTTTTCCATCCCTTATATTGCAGCGCCCCAGTATGTTGCATATAGTGCATATCCACCTTTTGTGCTCTTAATTACCAATCAAAAATCAAAAGTCTATCTATTATCTGCTTTTGCTTGATTGTTATTTTGCTTTATTTCTGGTACTTTGTACCAGTTCAAGACATTGATGTCTATTTCTATATCAGCTGATTCTGATTTGTAGTGGTCACTGATATGGCCTGAACATTACATTTTTGTCATTTTTATTTTCCATCAGTTCTACACTTTGATGTATTTTTATGTTTGTGTTGTTTTCAGGGTGGAGGAGACACCACAGTGACTTCTGAAAGTCTGGAGAAAATGTACCTGGCAGACAAGGATGCAGAGATCACTTTCCAGGCAGGCAAACATAAATACACCTTGCATTTCAAAGGTGCAGAAGGAAGCCAGACGATGTTCCAACAGAATTTAAAACATAAAACTAAGAGAGAGATTCGAAGGAGGCCTCGCTTTGTGTCGCCTCAGGATGTGAATGACATCAAGAGGTATTGTGGTCATGTGTCACAAATTTCTACTTACACAAGCTATTTGTACTGTATGTCAATTTTTTTATATATATGTTTTTTAAAATGTCCCTTTTTTATTGATCTTGTTTAAAGTGGATCGTCACAAAGCTCCTGCTCCACAGCTGAACATATTCCACCCTACTGGGACAAGAAGGCCCTGCCTGATTTGAGTTATAAGGTACATATATTTATTGTATAGCTTGTATTTCCCTCTGGTTGATGGGTTTTGTTACTAAGGCAAGGGGTACTTACCTTACCAACAAGACATTTTCTGTCATGTTTCAGCTCGTGCTCCTCTCCAGAGTTGATCCAGATTATAAAATTGAGGAGGATTTCAGACGCACCATGCCACGCAGTAGAATTGAAAGCATTGAAAGAATCCAGAACCCGTCTTTGTGGAAAGTCTTTCAATGGTGAAACACTTTGAAAATTTGCCCTATACAGTGATAAAGATGAAGCCTTTATCACAGGGCTATCACATGGTTGCTCATCATAGAATCCATACTTTGTCATATTTGTCACTTAACTTTTGTGCTGCATAATAAGTCTTATGCTTTATTTCAGGCAGAAGGACCAGATGCAGAAGAGGAATGGAGGGAAACGTGTGGACGAGAAACTTCTGTTCCACGGCACAGAAGAGAGCCTGGTTGATGCCATTTGTGATCAAAACTTTGACTGGAGGATGTGTGGCGTCCACGGAACAGCCTATGGGAAAGGTAGAAAAAATATATTCTGGTGATATCATGATCAAATCAGAGTTGGAAAAGTAACAATTGAGAATAGAAAAAGTGTTGTAACTTTTAACTACTATTTTCCTTTCTAGGGAGCTACTTTGCCAGAGATGCCTCCTACTCAGACAAATATTCTAAAACCCAAGGGAGTCTGAACAAGATCATGTTTGTTGCTCGAGTGCTGGTGGGTGAATACACAAAGGGAAGCAGCAGCTACGTTCGACCACCACCAAAAGCAGGAAGCAAAGCTCTTTATGACAGCTGCGTTAATTCTGAAACAGATCCCAGCATATTTGTGATCTTTGAAAAACAGCAGATTTATCCTGAGTATTTAATCAAGTACAGATGAGAAAACCAATGCTTTATATTCCTTTTGCTAAAGGGAAATAAATACAAATAGGTAACTTTTTAGCTGCCTGAAGTCCAATAGACACAAGGGAACATTTTGCTGGGTATCTTTGTTCTTTCCAAAGCATGCAGTCTGGATTTCTTTGTGTATTTTGTACTTATTGCTCAATAACTCTTTTTTTCATAACCTTGGACGACTACATGTCTGTCGGGACTCTTGCCTAAATAAATAAGTAAATAGTATTTTGCAAATATTAAGTAAATATTCATTTGTCCAGGAAATTACAAAAACACAATTTTGAATGTGTTGCTCATTAGTGCTGGAGGAAGCAGCAAGTATATGTGCACTGGGCAATCTTATATTCTGTCTCTTCACAACCCAAGTCCCCCTAAAAATTATGCGCAAATGTTCTTCAATAGGACACTTTCATGCAAACCAAAATGTATGGGGAAAAAACACAAGCTTACTTGCTTTTATAAATATATTTCAGATTAACTGAAAGCCAAACTTATATTGCAGAGACGGAGTTTTGTTATTATCCACCATACCAAGAATGGCCATTTAAAAAAATGATTTCAAAATCAGATCATAAAGACTTCCTTTAAATTATAGAGTAAGTATTTATATCTTAATTTACAACAAAGTGTTTCAGAAAGTACAAATACAGAAAAATTGAAACCTGCATGCAGCCTCTTGCAAAAAACTTAATTATTTTCATTCCTACCTAGTAGTTGTTAATCTCTTCAAACACCTTTGCAAACTTCTTAAGATATAAATGATTTTAATATCAAAATGAAACAAATGTTTAATCTTTTGAAGAAAAGCGTTAATAGGGTGGACTTATCCTATCCAAAGTGCTGATAAACCTTTCCAGCACAGGAGTCTGAATCTTTCAAAAGAAATTGAAAGTACTGACACCTGTGTTCTTTAGATTCCCCCTGAGATGCCTTCAAGTTCATGGCAAACAAAAGTATAAATGGTGGCTGTTCCTTGGCTTCATGGAAATTCGTTCATCTTTTTCAGAGGAGCTTCACGGTGAACTGTAAGCAGACTCACTCATAGTGTTAAATGTGACACAAAGCGCCTCGATGGCCTATTGTGATCATAGTGTTTACTATTAAACACTCAGTGAAGATGACAAGCACTGTGATTGCATAGTGTTTAATAGTAAAACAACAAAAGTGAAAACGAACTGTATGTTGAATATTCTATTATTACGCAAACATGCATCACCAAGTGAGAACCAAACGCCCTTCAATCCTAAGTTTCGTTTTCCTCTCTATAGAAGAAGGCGTGTCGCTGTGAGTGTTTGGCTCAGGTCAGCTGGAGCTGTGGTGGAAGAGCTGCAGGCTTCCTCCGGGATGGCTTCTAAGGATTTAATCCTTAAGGTCCTGTGTGAAAACCAGGGGTGTTTGGACTTTGAGCAGCTGCTCGAACTCGCCCAGAGCAACTTCGGCTTTGAGGTGGCAGATCTGCGCTCGGTTCTTTTTGACGACGGTGTGATCGCGATAAGAGAAGGAAAAGAGAAGCAGAACACCGGCGGCTATTTGATCAGGCCTGATAGTCTGGTTGTGGCAAAAACCAGCCTGAGGCTTTGCAAGGTGAAAGCTGGACAGTGTAAACAGTGTGATGGTTTACACCTGTGCAGGTACATTGTTGGTGGAAGCTGCAGCTTCGGGTAAGTTAACTCGGAAGAGTTGGTGATTACCCTTTTATTAACCAATATACAATTCGGTTTAATAAGATCGATATAGTTTATCCATTTTTGGATGAAGGTGAGATTTACTCTCAGACTTTATTTACATTTTCAAAACGGCCCTGTGATCATTTGTACTTTTCTAATCGGTTTTAATATTTAACCAAAAACGAAGCTTTGCTATAAACAAAATGCGGAAGTTTGCCAATCAGGGCGCTAGAAATAGAGTTGCCTATTGTTGCGTCGACGCGGGTCTGTTTATGTTGTGATTCTGTTTTCAAGGAAGCACTGCTGAAAGCTTACTCTTAAAATAAAATATTATTGCACTCAATAAGTAGTCCACCAGTAAGCAGATGGCGACAAACGTCCAAATATTCTCACTTCGGAAGAAAGATGCTTGTTTTCGTCTGTGCCCTGCGAGTTCAGATAGTTTCACCATGTCGTCCACAAGAGGGCAGTGTTCAACGGCCTTAGACATTGTGTTTCTTCCAAAACTGTAACACAGTGCCTTGCTACAGTTTTCACACCAATTTAAGGCGTTTTAATTTATCTTTGTTTATATTTAAGTTTTTCTGATGTGAGTTATTATTGCCACATCAGTTATTTGCTCATGTGTAAGCAGCTGGAGGAGCTCTAATAAACTGGAGTGAGACCTTAGCCTCTTTTCAACCCCTGAAGGTCATGGAAAATAACTTGAGTATACTAGAAATAAAATGCTATAGTATTTTGTTGTTGGAATAGCAATAGAATCTCCATGGTTTATAATGGAGTGGGTGTACACCACACTATAGTTAATCCTGTTTCTTCTACTGTTTGCTAAACATTTTACATGTAGGTATTTGCTATCTACAGATTTTCTTGAATACTTTTGATGGAACTGTAATTATTATAAAATTGTTTTTCTTGTTGGAACTGAGCTGGGTTGAGTCATATTAGTATTAGGAATAGGAGACATGTTTGCTCAACGAAGGATAAATGAGTAAATGTGTTCTAACCTGACTTTCTGTCCTTTCTGTTAGTAGTAATATTACAGCTTGTGTGTGAAGAATAAGTACAGTCTGTCCTTTCACTGCTATGCAGAAGACATGCATCTGCCAATTAATTGCATTACTTCCTTCTATGTCAAATATTAAACAGAGGTTGACTCATGTTTATCATATTTAAACAAGGGCAAATATGTTAAAATATATTTGTCCTTGTTTGATCAGCTGTATAGAGTCCTTTACTGTCATGTGAGAAAACAGGCAGTACGTGAACTACTTATAAAACAAACAATAAACACAATAGTGTTTATTTTATTAACACAATAGTGTTAATAAACACAATAGTGTTTATTGTTTAAACACAATAGTGTTTATTGTTCACTAAAATTATTGACATAGTTTTATTGAACTAAAACTATGTAAATACTTTTACTGGTGCAGTAAAAGTACTGCATCAGGTTATTGGTTACTTTTATTATTGACATAGTTTTAGTGAACTATATGCTCACTAAAATGAACATAGTATTTGGGAAAGGGGAAGTAGCTGGCCTTAATACTTCTTTCAGCTGTGATCCCACAGTCAAAAATCTTGATGCGCTTCTTGACTCAAATTTAAACTTGACAAGCAAATAATGTTATCAGGATGAGTTTCTTTTATGTACGGCTCCTGGCAAAGGCCAAAATCTTTCTAGTTTATAACAGCCTTGAAATGGCTGCTCCTGCTTTATAGCAGCAGCCTACTTTGTGATTGTGTTATTGTAATTTGCTTTGTTTTTGCATGATCGTCACAGTCTCCCTGTTCGGTTTAGGATTGATTTTTACCTTCTTATTGTTTGTTTTTCAAGCTCTTAAATATAAGGAGGCCGGACCTCCTTATATTTATGTGATGTTTTAACTTTTTATTTCTTGGGCTTTGCAAATAAATTCATTATTATTACAAAAAAAAATAATTTAAATTTGTAATAGATTGAAACAAAAAAAATATCATTTTCATGTTGTCTTTAGGGACAAGTGTAAAAATCCACACAGTCTCACCTCTCACCACAACAGTCGGCTTTTAAGGAGACACGGTCTTCATGATTTGACAGAGAAACAGTTGTTGCAGCTCTTGATGCAGAATGATCCTTTTCTGCTTCCAGAGGTAGGACTTGCTGACTTTAGTCAGATGATGAACAATAAATCTGCCTTCTTATCTCAAGATGTTCCACTTTTTTGATCCCCTCTGTTTTTCTTTAGGTTTGTCCGCATTACAACAAGGGTGACGGTCAGTTTGGCTCCTGCAAGTTTGCCGCCACCTGCAAAAAGCTCCATGTCTGCCTGCACTTCCTGCAGGGAGACTGTAAGTTTGGCTCGTCGTGTAAGAGAAAACACACTTTTGACCAACAAGCACTGAAACTTTTCCAGGGATTCAGTGAGGAAAATATTCGAAACCTTTACAAGATCTACAGGAATAAATTCATCATCACTGGTCAACAAGAGAAGCCAGCTGCTGCATCAGGTTATTCGTTACTTTTATAAAAAAATGCTCCATTGTTTTTCTTCCCATGAACTGAAGACAGTAATATATCTTAAATGATTGTTTACTTTAGTGCTTCCAGAGGAGAGAATCAGCCATCAGCAGCCTTCCCATGAACATTCTCAAAACAAACCCCAATCTCCAACTAAGTCTGCCAACCCTCCTAAGCCATTAACCGACGCAGAGCGTAACGAAATCTGCCTCTTCTTTATACGCAGACACTGCAGCTTCAAAGGTATCAACCCATAAGAGAGCTGATGTTTTTCATCTACAGCACTTTTAGTTTTCACAGTTGTCACTCTCCGAATGGGCATTTCTTGTGGATTTTGTCACAGAGAAATGCAGCCGTGTCCACTGGCATCTTCCTTACAGATGGCAGGTTTTAGACCAAGATGGTGTGACCTGGAAGGACTTGGTCAACATGGAGGAAGTTGAGAAAGCATTCTGTGATCCATCATGTGAGACGAGCAGCCAAGATCAACCAACAGTTACTTCAGCATTTCTGAGGTTTCTCAATTTTCAAAGGTACAATAGTTACTCGTTCACTTCCTGTGAAATTGAACGCCAAAGATATGTGTTGTGGTTCAGCTAAGCTTTAAGAGTAACGACCTTCATTTGGCAGTGCACCAATAAGGCCTTGCGTGGACTTCAAGACGATGACGCTTGGAGGATCACAAGTTCGGCGGCTTTCCACTGCCTCATCTGTCTCAAAGCCCCCACACTTCATTTTAACAACAGAGTGGTTGTGGTACTGGAAGGAAAACGATGGGAAATGGCTGGAGTATGGACAGGTGAGTTGATCAAATTCAGTTTTTAAATATCATTGATGTAACGACTGCAAATTCATTTTCAAATGATCTGAAAACACTGCTGTTAAAAAGAGGTCTGGCAGTGTGGTGTCACTGAATAAATGAGCAAAAATATTAAAATAGGTGAAGTTACAACAAGTCTTCTTGAGTCTAAGCATAAGTTGAAATTGCTTTGACAGTTCATAAAAGGGCAAAGTGAAATTGAATTCTTTCAAGCCGACATAAACTAAAAATAAATCATTTATAAGTTAAATCATGAATAAGTTGCGCTGCACCGTACTGCAAGGTGTAAAGACAAGATTAAAGGAATGAATGAACAGTTTATTTATATCTTAATTTTCCCTTAGTTAGCTTGTCTTTTCAGGCTTACACATTTTGGGTCATGGACTGTTTTTTCTTTCCTTGGTTTTTGCTGTTTTATATTCCTCTAGTTAAAGCGACTAAATGCCTCAGTCTTCTGCTTCACTCGTCCTCCTCCCTCTCAGTCAATTAGTTTCACCCGTTTCGCTTCCCAGAAATCAGTCATCCGTGTAAATAGTCTTCATAATTTCATAACAATAAATGTTCAGACTCACAGAGGTGGAATGTGGCCTTTGTTGACACACCTGTGTGTTTCTTATTCGTTGAAGGGAAAAAGACTGAGAAAGGAGCCAGTCTCTAATATAAGAGATTGAGACATCCTTCTAGGTCTCTGGTTAATTCTATGAACATGAATTCGAGGAATTGACCAGATCAACCATTAACCATCTGCTACAAAACCACTGGCTACAGACGTAGCTCTTTTTCTAGCTACAAACATGCAGCTTAACCTGGTGGGTGTGTCTGTCAGTCAAACCTCTCTCACAGCACAGCAAAGCAAAAGAAGACAGTGGTTGGTTGCTGATACCATAAAATAAATTAATATAACACTGCTACCACTACATCCTTTTTCTGAAATTTAATTCTCCATTGGTTACCAATGTTTTTTGGGACCAAGTGTATATAGGTGTTCCTAATAGCTTTCTGAAGGAAACAAATATTTTAATGCTTACATGATTGTTCTTTGTATTTTGTGTTTCTTTTAGGATTCAGGAGATCCCTCGGTCACTTCCCAAACTCTGGAAAATGTGTACCTGGCAGACAGAGAAACGGAGATCTCTTTCCAGGTTGGCAAACAAAAGTATGTTTTACACTTTAAGGATGCAGCAGGAACCCAGCAAATGTATCAGCAGAATGTACAATACCAGACCAAGAGAAATGTCCGAAGGAGGCCTCGCTTTGTGTCAGCTCAAGATGTGGAGGCGAAGCTCAAGAGGTGATATACACCTGCGTGTATAAACCATTCCAGGGTTTATTTTTGTAAATTGCAGTGTTACTGAGATGATGCCTTATTTCTGTATTTTCTCTGCAGTGAAACATCACACACTGCAAACTCGTCCACTATGGAAAATGTCCCATCGCATTGGGACAAGAGTGCACTGCCTGATCTAGGATACAAGGTATTCTTTTTGAATAAATCTTCTCTAAATCACTATAGTTATTAATAATGTATATATTTTTTTCTGTGATTAGCTTTCAAAATTTCTAATAATTCCACCTCTTTATTTGATTCTCTTTTTTTTTTTTTTTTTTTTTTTTTTAACAGCTAATAGTTCTGTCCAAACCAGCAGCAGATTACAATATGATTGAGATGTTGTTCAAGCGCACCCTGCCTAATGCTAACATTGAAAGCATCCAGAGGATTCAGAATCCATCCTTGTGGAAGGTCTTTCAATGGTAAATCACAGGCGGTTTCATATTATATTTTTGTGGGCAGGACCACTTAGTTTTTGGTGTTATGAAGAGTAACTACTGGTAAATATTTGTGTTTAATATTTTGTACTTTATTTGCAGGCAGAAGGAACAGATGCAGAAGAGGAATGGAGGGAAACTTGTAGATCAGCAGTACTTGTTCCATGGGACAGATGAGAGCCTGGTTGACGCTATATGTGAGCAAAACTTTGACTGGAGGATGTGCGGCGTCCATGGAACAGCCTATGGCAAAGGTGTTGTAAAACATACTAGTGTTTTGATCAAAAGCAGAATCTAGAAGTAGAAATTTCTAATTATTCTTTATTTTCTCTGATCATTTTTTTTCTAGGGAGCTACTTTGCCAGAGATGCAACCTACTCAGACAGATATTCCAGAGTAAAAGGGAGTCAGACCAAGAACATGTTTGTTGCTCTGGTCCTGGTCGGTGAATACACCACTGGGAACAGCAGCTATGTTCGACCACCTCCAAAAGCAGGAAGCAAAGCTCTGTATGACAGCTGTGTTAATTCCACCAGCAACCCCACCATATATGTGATCTTTGAAAAACAGCAGATTTATCCAGAGTATCTCATCAAATACAGATAAGTCAAAACTTTACACTTAATCCTAATCTGTGTTTTCTGCATTTTTCTGGGCACAGTCTCTTTATCTAAATGAAGTTTACAACTTGCACATGTTTGAACCTCGTACTGGTGTGTAATGTTTAGTGATTCTTAAATATTAGGGCTAAAACTAGGAGAGATGGAGCCGTTATGTTTGCTACTCTAAAGCAGATTAATTCTAGGACTATGTCTTGCACTTTCAAATCCATTTGCAAACCTTTTTGTTTTTCATTATTATATTGTGAATCATTTTATTTGGTGTGTATCTGAGTCTTTGTGTTTGCATCAGAATTGATCAATTTCTAATTGAACTGATGTCTGTTTTTACTGTGGGTGTTGTCTGTTTTGGGGAGAACTGCAATGATGTAAATCAGAAGGAGGCATTGAGAGAGTAACATTTGATCTGTATTAGGTTTGTGGAATATTTTTTTTCTGGTTGCTGCTAAATAAAGACAATAAAATCTGTATGCATTTTTTATTTTGCAATTTTATTTCAATATGTTAAAATATTGTCCTTCCTTTAAAGAGACATGTTTCCCAGTCCAGCATAAAAAGGCTTTTATATGTTCACAAAAACTGTTATTCGAAATAATTTCTGTAATTCTAACTGACCAAAAATGTTCGTACAGAAAAACTTAATTTTTATCTGTATACAGATAATATATGTTCATTTTAAATAAAAATCGAATTACTGATTTTAAAGGTTTTTACAATAAGCCAAACTCTTATTTTCATTCATATAAAATATTTAAAATATGTGTCTTTATTATGTTTACTTGGTCTATTTTATGTAAAAATAAAACATCCCAAACATTTTTTTTTCAACTTGCATCAGGTCGTTTGTTTATGACTTTCGAGCTCTGGCTTTTATTTTGAAAGCCACCCACCGGAATTAAAGTATTTTCTTTTTCCGGTTTTCTTGCCGTGAGAAGGTGGTCCTCCCTGGGGTGAAAAACACCGTCCAGATTCAGGAATACGACGAGACAACAGTGGGAAGTTTCTAAACGCTTCGAGACGCTCACCAAACAAACTACCGAACCTGGCGTTAGGCTGACGAATTGCCATCGAGGTTGGCGGCGGATTTGCGGTGTTTGAGTCGGGAACTGAAGTTGGGAAAGTGTGGGGTGAAAATGGAGAGCCCAGCTGAGTGAGAGTGAGGCAGAGTGGGGTGAGGAGGCTGGATTTGGCAGGAGCTGCTGCTAACAGGCTAATTAGCTTGGTCACACACTTCTCCGGTAAGTTCGGACGTGAGATTTTAAAAGTCACTTTATTCATTTTAGTGACAGAGTTGTTGATTGTTAGCCTCTGGAGACTGCCACTATGTTACGTCCTGCTGAAGTTAAAGTTATGGTTAGTTTTTCTGTGCGTAAAAAAACAAAACAAAAACAAATTTAACGGGCCTATTTTTAAAAGAAGACCAGAATTACGCTTTGAAGCGTTTTTTTCTCAATGTATTACATTAATAAGTTGACTAGGATCAACTTTAATGGTTTTCATTAAAGTTGTTACATAAATATATTTTACAGCTGTTTATAAGTAATATTAAACTCATGTGTTTCGTTATACTTCTCAATGCACGACTGATATTGATTGCATTTTACCTGGTAAAACACTGATTGCTGTTTTCTCGGCAGATTTCTGTAGAGATGACTCATAATTTACACATAAAAAATTGTTTACATATGACCCGTGCATAAGAGTACGGAATACCTAAAGTGCAACAAAGTAATGACTACGACGATTACATGAATAAATATAATTAGACTTTTTTTTCAGTTAATCTCAATATATATATATATATGATATATTTTTACGTATATGTATGAAAATATATGTATATGAAATATTAACACTGCATGAAATACATTCAAGATTTAAGAGATACAAGATTTATGCTCTAATGGATGAAATATGCATTCAGACCTACTGTATGATAACCATAATACATTAATAATTATTATGTATGTATAGATAAATAAAATGCCTGAATGTACAGAATGTGAATTATGACCAATTAAAACAAACTGGAAAAAAATAGGTCTTAGTTAAGTGATGAGTGCAAATTATTAAAGGTACAGGTATTCTTGAATGACTCTTGCAGTGAAGTATCACTGGAGGCATTGAACACTGCCACCTAAATGCGATCTCCACTGAGCGATCGGTCAGTTCTGCATGTCATCACAATGCAAGCATAAAGGAGCCTCGAATTTCTGATCTTGCGTGTGAAAGTTATTACACCTTCTCTTTTATGGTCAGATTTTGAGGCTTGACCACGCCCACATGCTTTGCAGTAAAAAAGCTTTTGATGACTTTTGATTGTCAGTGTGTGAAGACTATACTGATTAATTTCAAAGTCTCCTTAATGGAAAGCCGTAGGAGGAGTTTGTTCAGATATGTGTTTGAGGAAATAAAGGGACAACATATAGGTTTTACTCTAAAATGGTTGACTTCCTAAGGGATTGGACCATGGGTACAAAACATTTCTTTCATAAGTTTTGAGAAGTTACAAGTATGTACCAAATTTCATCATAATGTTTAACGTAGTTGCATAGCATTTTTTAGTGGTTGAATTAATACCCATCATGTTCAATTTTATGCTTATCAGATATATGTAAAAATTAGAGACAAAACGCATGGTCATGGTGAGACATCAGATTTTGCCTTGCTGCCACAAATGTCAAAAATTACATTAAGGTGGATTATCTTTAAGTAGTGCTATAAAGCCATTTGACCACATCCCTTTTCAGTTTTGGTATATTGATAAGCCTCTGAAAAGCTTAGGATATTGGACATTGCAGTTAAAATAATTAGAATAAACTTGTTTTTGTTACACCACATATTGAGCTAATAGGCAGCAGAGAAATCTTTGAAAAGCTCAGTAACTTTCATTTTTGTTTCATTTGATCTCACGACACAAACACTAAGAAATATTGCATAATGGCACTTTAGCATGTTCTTGCTAAATTAAATACTGTGAATACCATACACTGTTATTAATGCCAACCGTTTACCTTTCTGTGTTTAATTTGCGAACTAGAGTGAAAAAAAGTGGTTTCAAATCCCAGTCAGACTGAAAATCCTCCATTTCTGGTCACCTCCAATTGGTGCCACTGCATATTCTTAGTCCTGAAGGTCCTAAAGGTCCTCATTGCATGATTTTCATTTAAATTGAACTTCTCTGTTAATGACTCTCAGTGTGAAATTACTCCTAATATTCTGATGACAATGTCATTGTTCAGTAAATTTGGGATTATTTTTGCAGCATCACTCCACAGCCAACAATTCTCCCTGGGGGCCGATGCTGTTTACTCAAGACTGAAGCTTCTCCTAACGGTTCAAAGGACAGTCGATGGTTGCATTTTCCCTGGAAGTTCTGCCTGAGTCCTGAGGATAACATTTTCGGAGAGGTTTGCTGTCCCAGGCAAACACCTCATTCATCGAATCGATTGTTTTGTGCTGTTGGCCTTTCAGGGTTTGTACTAATGGAGTCTTGTTTAATGGAAGCCTGGTAGGTTCCTGAAAGGCTTTTGGGTCGTCCTGTCCAATGATTGGACATTCAAGAGAGCTGCGCTAAAAAAAAAGAACAGCACAAAGAACAACAAAAAGTAATCTTGACTTGTTGGGATACTTGTTGGGATACACAGTGCATGATATATTAATGAATTTATGGGCTGTATTGAGGTGTCATATTTATGAAACCCACCTGCTGACGCCAGCTCATCTGGACTTGGATGGGAGTAATCAGCCTCTTTCCTGAACATCTCTCTGAGCTGGGGTACAGCCTGGATGTTGAATCAGCTGTTGCGGTGATGAGGCAGGACTCCTGGTGGCCTGTGTGGCTGGCTGAGCAGCGGCCCGAGGTGATGTGATGGGGTGCCGGAACAGCAAAGTCCTCCCTGAGCCTCCAGGGGACGTTCAGTTGGATCTTGTCAAAAAGGTCAGTAATAGACAGGGGTGTAGCTGCACAGCCTTCTCCTACAACACAGGTTTCAAACTCCAGTCCTCAAGGGCCGTTGCAGTTTTTCGATGTGCCACAGGTACAAAACACTGGCATGAATTGGCTTAATTACCTCCTCCTTGAGTAGATAAGTTCTCCAGAGCCTTGCTAATGACCTAATTATTCTATTGAGGTGTGATGCAGCAGAGGCACATCTAAAAGTTGCAGAACAGTGGCCCTCGAGGACTGGAGTTTGACACCCCTGTCCTACAAGGATATATGAATAAAGATTTATTAACAGTTTTAACAGCCTTAATCTTCAGTTCAGTTTTTTGCTTTACCTCATGATTTGTAGCTATTTAGCAGTAGTCTTGTCAGTTTTGATAAACATTTTAAGCAAACAAGAGAGCATTCAGAACTGTAAATGTATTTGCTTGGTAATTGCTAAATTACTTACAAAAGTATCTTGTTTATGAGTCAACTTAAAAAGAAATAAGTATCTGTTTTCTTTGAAGTAATAGAACATTAAAGTTCTAAGGTCCTATTTCCTGTACTCCTCAGGTTGATCCTCAGACTCCTCAAACGGATATCTATAAGCACTTCATACGAGGGGATGGCACTGGAAGCAAGACAGGCGAGGCTGGAGGCGTGGCAGCTGAAAAGCCTGACCACACCTGCGCATATCAAGGTCAAGCACAAGCTGCCTCTCCCACTTCCGCTTCAGCTCAGACTCCTAAAGACCCCTCCAAACTGTCGAACTCTCAGCGAAAGAAGGTGGCAAAGTACCGAGCCAACTTCGACCCCCGAGTCAGGGCTAAGTACGAGATAAAAGCTCTCATAGGTCGTGGGAGTTTCAGCCGAGTCGTCCGGGTGGAGCACAAGAGCACGCGGCAGCCGTACGCCATCAAGATGATCGAGACCCGATACCGCGAGGGCAGGGAGGTGTGCGAGTCCGAGCTGTGCGTCCTGCGTCGGGTTCGTCACACCAACATAATCCAGCTGATGGAGGTGTTTGAGACGGCAGAGCGTGTCTACATGGTCATGGAGTTGGCCACTGGAGGGGAGCTCTTTGACCGCATCATTGCTTGCGGTTCCTTCACAGAGCGAGATGCCACCGGTGTGCTGCAGATGGTGCTGGACGGCGTCAAGTATCTCCATGCTTTGGGGATCACTCATCGGGACCTGAAGCCAGAGAATCTGCTGTACTATCACCCTGGAGCTGACTCGAAGATCATCATCACTGACTTCGGTTTGGCTAGCAGTCGGAAGAAAGGAGACGAGTGTCTAATGAAGACCACCTGCGGCACGCCGGAGTACATCGCCCCAGAGATCCTGGTTAGGAAGCCCTACACAAATGCCGTGGATATGTGGGCACTGGGGGTTATATCGTATATCCTGCTGAGCGGAACCATGCCCTTCGAGGACGATAACCGTATGAGGCTCTACCGGCAGATCCTGAAGGGAAAATATAGCTTTTCTGGAGAGGTAAGAACTGACATCTGTAGCTTTCTTCTTCTTCCCCCATTTCTGGAGCACATGGCGCGCTCTGCAGGAGGGTTTATCAACAGATTTCCAAGAAGTTCAGCTTGACACAGTTCCCACACAGGCTCACTAGATTTGTAAACCACTGTACTCCTCTCCAACTCCACATTCATTATTTCTTAATCATTAAATAAAAACACACTTCCTTTTTCTTTTTTTTAAATTTCTTTTCTAAATTCCTTTAAACATGTTTACAGAGAATGCAAAAACAAAATTACGGTGAAAAGAACAAGTGAGAGAAAAAGATTTTGCTCAGTCGTTTGTACTGTCGTCATAATATATTTATCAGAAATGTTTCTTTATCTGACAGGAGAAATGGAAATCAGTTCTCTTTGCGACAGCCAGCTTGTGAAAAACGTATCACATTATAAACGTTTCATATGAGTCGATATCAATAATTATTGATTTTTGTGTTTTTCTTTTAAATATCTGAAAAAACAGCCCAAATGGTGGCATGACCTTTTCCTTTTTTATCCACCACTGTTATTATTTTTAAGCAGTTATTAGTTTTAATCAGTTATGATCCACTAGTCACTCAACTCATCAACTTTGTTTATCTTGCTGTGAAAGGTTGAGCAGCCAGATCGTTTCCTCTGCCTACATCCCCCAGAATGCTGCGCGGTTCTGGATTGGCGTTCAGTGAAATTATTGAATATTCTATCAGACGTTTTATCTATTGATTTTGATCACGTGTCTATCACAATAGATGTCATTGAATTATTGAAAATACCTAAAAAAATTTAATTTAAATATTGTTCTTAGTTAATCCGTTACATGTTGACTGAACACACCCCTTCTTTTAGTTTGCAAGTCTTTTTTGCCTGAATGATTCTGAAGTTGGAGTGAAATCACTGGATAATCTAAAACCCTCCTGAAAGCAGTCCTACGCTGGACTGAATGAGCAGAAAATCAGCCGGAGGCTAAAGAGAAACTGGTAGACAGTCAAATATTTGATTGAAAGAATGTAAAAATGAATAAGGGACTGGACAAAGATGCTCCCACAGTTTTATTTATCCTTTATTTTACAGTATGGCCAGAAAAAGTGCAGATTAATCTGTTCTTTTGTATAACATTGATACTTCCAGTGAACGCTTTCCCAGAAACACCCTTAGTAAATCTTTGCTCCTTATGCAAACATTTCTACTGTTCTTTTTAATATGTAAGAAGAAGCTGTTGAGTCGTTTCAATTTTCTGGGGATTAACTTGTTTTGCCTGATTGGTTAAATGAGTATCCCTGACATGTGTATCCCTTTCTTGAAGCAAATGTTCTCATGGCTTTGGGCTGAAAATAGTTAAGCCTAATGTGAGTCAGGCGAGTTTTCTGTGTGATTTGTAGGGACAGTTTCACTGGAAATACAAGGAACGTTGTGGTCCTACCAAAAACGATGTATAATGTATAGTATTCTGTAAGATATTTATCCAAAGATCTGTCCACACACTGTACATATAAACTGCTGTGAAAATATTTTTTATTAGTCATTAAATAATAATACCATGAATTGATTCTTGAAACTTCAGCACACTTATATGGGCTAATATTTGGTAGCTTTGCAAGAATAAATGGCTGCTTTAAATTTGAGACTTGAACCATCACTTATGTTGCACACAACTTTGCATCTGAGTGCTCTGAACTCGTGAAGCAGCCAGCTACAAGAATCAATTTTCCCTCGATCAGCTCTCATTGTGGTTACTGAATGAAATCCTAAAAGTCTTTTTTCCTCTTTGTTAAATTGATCAAAACTGGAAGCACCCACCCTTCCTGCAGCCTGTAGCATTTTGATGCATTTCTAAATTTTCTGTCTGATACAAAACTGCTACCTCTATTAAAAAAAGCTGCACCATATTTGCCTCCTTTCAGTGCTGTCATCCTGAGAAAGAAAACATTTAACTGCTCAAAATCATATTTGGAAGGTCCGACCTCAAAGAAAAGAAAAAATTGTATTGTCCTGGAATATACTGATCATCTCTAGTCTTCAAGTCTGCAATAATTTGTGCCAACACTGTTCAAGCTATGCTTATAGCATTTTGTTGCTGTGGCAGAAGTTGCAGTAACCTACATCTTTTCCCGTTTACGTGAAGAATTTACCAGTCCTGAAAAGAAAATCCCAACTCTTAACATTTGTAAGAAATATGGGCCTCTGCGTAGGAGTTGCAATGTAACAGACCTGAATGTGTTTTCCTTTGGGATTTGACTCCTGACAGCTGGGATAAATAATGTTCACATTTACAGCTGCGGTCCAGGAACCAGTCATAGCCAAAACATGGCTCAGGGAGGGCAGAAACGTATGTGTTTTATATGCGTCGTGTATGTTTAGTCGACACTGGTGATTTATCTGCTACATGAACAGAAAGAGACCAAAAACCCAGCTGGTGGCCAAACAGGACAAGGTGACCAAGTTTTGTGTGTATTTGTGTGTATGTTTGTGCGAGTTGCAGCATGTAATTCCTGGCCAAGCAGGGGGTCGAGTTTGACTCACTACTAGTCACTCGTACTGAATACAGTTTATTTCTTGCCAGAACAAAGCAGCCCTTACTGAGAACATTTGTTCCCAAAGTTAGACGAAATGCTTTGGGAACATAAAACTCTACACAATAAGACACATAAAGATTTAAACTCTAAAATCTACATCCGTTGTTATGATGTGTGAGAATCTGATTAATCTCCATTAATGTGAGAAATTAATGGGGAAGCTTTTTTTTGTTTGTTTGTTTTTAAATTCCAGCATGATTGCAAGTCGATCACAGGCTGGATGTGGACAAAATGTCTTGCGACTTCACAGACTTCAGGGTTTACTGGTCTTCTGAGTTCTGTGCTTCTGCTGCCATCTTCTGGTCAGAGGACAAATTTGCAAACAAACTCATCCCTGTGAAAGGAATATTGACTTATTTTAGCACAAAAGGGGTTCTTGACACAACAATGGAAAAGTTTTAGGCCTGAAACGATTAATCGGGTTAATCGCAATGAAAGGTCAAAAAACAAAAAGAAAGAAAATTACATATTGGTGCTGTATTGCTATTAAGCTAAGCAGACAGGGCTGAGTTTTTCCACATCTTTGTTAGAAGTATGTTTTTATCTGCAGATTTATGTTTTGCTTCAAATGATCAAGCGTACACTAAAGGAAAGCTATGTTCTTCAATTTCAGGTGATAAAATGTTGTTTTTTTTTAATACTTAAATTATTTCTTCATTTGTATCTTTAAATCTCTGTGTAATAGTGGTTAAATTAAAAAATCTGCAGAATTTAATTTAATTGATTAATTACTAGAATCGACAGACTAATCAATTACAAAAATAATTGTTAGTTGTAGCCCTGGAGTTTTGACTTACAGTATTGATGGGTAAAGTACAGACATGCCCCACAAGGAAATAGTTATGGCTACATAATTAAACCATTTCTATTACCATTGTAGCTATATCAGGACAGACACAGCAAATCAGCATTCTGAATCATTTGTTGAGTGAAAAAAATATATAATAACCAAGAACCTTGCAGTTTATGAGGAAATTATTTTTGCATTACCTGCATCTAAAATGTTACTCCACATGTCATTTTGCTGATTTTTTTTTTTCATCCTCTTTTCCCAGCCGTGGCCCAGTGTGTCCAATCTGGCCAAAGACTTTGTCGAGCGAATTCTGACAGTGGACCCCAGCGAGCGGCTGACGGCAGGCCAGGCCCTCAAGCATCCCTGGATCGTCAGCATGGCGGCGGCCTCCTCTATGAAGAACCTGCAGCGCTGCATATCTCAGAACCTCTTGAAACGCGCCTCCTCACGCTGCCAGAGCACCAAGTCGTCCCAGTCCAATCGCTCCACCAAGTCCAACAAAGCTCGCAGGGTGCGAGAGAAGGAGCTGCGCGAGCTGAACCGTCGCTATCAGCAGCAATACAACGGCTGAAAGCTCTTCTGCAGCCCTTTGACTCGGAAACCTTTGGTCTCAGACACGACTGAGAAAACATTCCAATCGTAGACACTCCCAGTGTTAAAAGCCAAAAACACCTGAAAGGTCCACTTTGCTACAAACATTCCCACCAGTTAAATGTGCTGAAACAAGAAGTGAAGACTCTAAATCAAAAAACTCTCGATGAAGATGCAGGTTGGATCATTTGGTTGTTTTTTTTCTCCACCTGTGTCGCTATTTATTTATTATTGTGACAATAAATCTCCATTCAAATGGTCGCTGGGTAATGACCTTCCAAATGGATCTGTGGAACAGAGTTCTGGACACTGATGTTTCTAAGAAGCAATGTGTTCTTTGAAGTAGGGAGGAACAAATTCTCCCTTTTTGTTTCCAATCAAAAGTGCTGTGAATTTATTGTTGAACTCTCTGTACAGACCTCATGATGTTGTTGGTACTCAGATTTTAGTAAACCATAATCACCATCTGAAGGATAGCATGAAGGCTTATTTTTAGTGCGATAGACGTTTAATCGGTTTTTGTTCTAAACTGGTTCCTGAGCTGTCACAAGATTGTTAATCTGTTATCATTGAAACTTAGGTGTATTAAATACTAAAATGTTCCCCACCTTCAACTCCTCCTGCTGTTACCTCTCCTGTAAAGCAAACAGATGCACTGTTTTGTTGAGTTATAGCTGCACATTATAAAAGAAATAACATTAAAAAAAACCTGATTCATTGGCTGCATCAGCTAAAAGTTAAAACTTCACATTTTTAGTGTTTTGAGAAACAAATTAGGGCATCTTGCTACGTGTGTCACATTTTGTGTTTTATAAAGTCTTTTAAGGTTTTTGTTCTCAAATTTTTTCCAAGTGAAATTGTCGGTGCACATGCGCCCCCTAGTGTTTCTAAGAGTAATATCAAATTTTTATGAAAACCTCCAAGAACAATACAGATTTGTATTTTTCAATAGGGCTCAGCTGAGGGTACTCATTGTAAAAATAATAATAATAATAAAAATACCGTTGTGTATTTATTCTGAATGAATAAAAATTAGGGTTTTAAGAAGTTAATGCCAAAATTAACTTAGTGAAACCCAATGAACCCTTGCAGACAAAGAAAGTACTAAAATTACTCAGTGTTTGCAGAACAGGATTTCAAAATACAGATAACTTTGTTTTTAGTTGGAAAAAGTCTACACTTTCTTGTGTAGCTTGTGATTTATAAGCTCTTTTTATGTTTATGGAATCTACCTTATACTAAAAAGTAAAGCAGGCAAATTGCAGTCTCAATTCCATAAAAAGACTAAGTGTACTTTGATTTCAGATGTAAATCTGTCCAGTTTTTCTAGTAGAATATGTGATGAAATTAAACTCTTATATCCATTTTATAAACATATTTTAAATTCTTGCTCAAAATAATTTGAAGTCAATTTAGTAAATTCATATAGCTCTAATTTACAACAGAAACTTTACAGTTGGCACAGGTTTATAAATTTAAACCATTATCACATAAAATATATTAAAAGTTTATGTGACGTCTGTTACACTCAAAATGAAGAAAGTGAAAGAGTAATGGATTTAAGCAAAATAAAGCAATTTGTAAAATACAGTTTGTTTATTTATTTAGTCAATTAACAGCCAATAATATAAAAATGTTTTGAGAGCTCTGGTTTCAATTATTTTTCCTCAGTTTTTTTTTTTTTTTTTTTTTTTTAAACATGGGTTTGCAAATAATTTAAACATTTAAAATATTTTTGCAACAAGATCTTGGTCTGTCTCTGCCACCTAGTGGTAGCAACTAAGTGACAACTAAAACAAAGATTTAAAAAAAAAATCGTTCTTTCAAATTTATCAACTTTTAACAACTTTGTCATTTGAAAATTGCTGCTCGTGCCTAGTGTCAGCAGCTCTTGAATTATGTTTGTGGTTAAAAGAAAAGAAAGTTTCATTCCTTCCTCAAAAATGGTCAGAAAAAGTTTGGCAGAAATTGCATATTGAAGGAGGAAAGAGGTGTTGGTAGAACTGAAACTCATGCCACTGTTTAATAGTCTTTGATATGTTTTTGCACAACGTTGTGATAATATTTGGAGAGGTTTTTTTTTTTACTTCGGAGGTGTAGAATTTAAAATGCGAACCAGTGGTAAAAGGTAAAGTTAAAAAAGTAAAAAGTTCCAAACTGATGTAATTTTGTTCAGTGTTACATGGGTTTTATCAGGTTGTGTGAAGTCAATGGATATAAAAACAAATATATATCATAAAGACATATCTAGTTTGCTACTCTTAGTTACCTTTTACACAGAAGAAGCTTTATCTTTTAACTTGATATGTGAATTTATTTGAGCACGTGGCCATTCCAACTTCTTGACTAAAACTCCTGATTGTAGTATGAACATTTAATGTTTAGTAATGTTGCCTATAAATGAGAAAACATTACTCATTTACTAAGCAGTCCTTAAACAGGACTGCTTGTCTAAGCAGGCCTGTCTGAGCAATTAGTCTGACTGGAGCTTCTTCTGATGACACATCAACTTGGTCATCAGAAGAAGCTTCGATTGGACTCCGCTGAAACCAAAGCAACGTTCCCTCTGCTGTCCTAATGCTCAACCTTAGTAGTGAGCTATGAGATTCTACCGATTTCTGGACATAATTTCATTTCTCAAGAATTCAACCTTTGAATTCTCGAAACGATGAAACTGTGAACGAAGCAAAAACACCTACTAGAACAACCCTTATGTCGCAATAGTGCCACAGTAACGACATTACGAAGACAAATTAGGCTTATGGCCGTATAATTTTAGGATAATGAGAAAATGAAGCCATTAAATTTGAAGATAATTAGATCATGGAACTGCAATCACAACTATAAAAAAATAAAGATCTTGTCCAACACTCCACCTGTGATATGATCTTAAGAAAATCAGAGCATAATCCAGCTGTCGTGAAAAAACCCACGTCAAGATCTTGTCTCAACGTGAAGAGGTCACTATGTGAAAAGACCTCAAGATATATGGCTGACACTATATTATCACAACAAAGAACAATATATTTTTAGATGAGATTATTATTTTTTTCAAAAATAATTATCTGATCTCAATAGAAAAGGTCTTGTTATCTCTAGGTAAATAAATTATGTTAAAACAAACATGGGGTTTTTGCCAAATTTAGAATGAAAATAGTCATTGCAGATAATTATTATGTCCACTTTGCTATCTTGAGAGAACTAGGCCATTATGTCCAAAGGTTCTCATGGTCTTATTATCTTGAAATAAAGAAAGTCTGGGCGTGGATATCAGAAATGTTTTGAAGATAGGAAATTTGAAAACTTGCCTTAATTTCTTCACAATCATCCACCCTAAAATATCTCATTGTTTTTTACTTGAGAAGATAATTTCTTTGAATGATCTTATTCCCAGATACAATAATTATTGGCTCTATAGATAAACTCTGCACTCTTCATTTTGATTATTACAGCCTGAATCATTTCTGTTTTTATTCACTATCTTTACACAATCAATAAGTGAGAACACTTATTGAAACACAACCCATCAACTTTATTTGGAATATAAAGATGTTCTAAAGTAAAAACTTTTCTATAATAAAAACTATAGAAGAACTTCATATACAGCCATTTCTTCCACCTGGTTTACAGATTACATATTTCCCCCGTGTTAAATTATTGAGCTACATCAGCTGACCTCAGATTTTCGATCTTCTTTTGATTCCTTTCTTTGTGTTATTTTAATCTAGTCCTGTTGGTTATTTCTAAAGATGGGACCTAATGTAAATTCCTGCATAGAATGAGTAGTCACATCAAAAAAAATTTCTGAACCCAGAGCATGTTTTTTTTTTTTTTTTTTTTTTTACACAAGCAGCATTGTAAGTATTTTATTTTCTTTTATTTTTTTTAAGAAAGAAAAACAAAACATTGAAATAAACAGCAGCTGTGGTGATTTTAAATTATATCTTATATGAAGGAGGTCATCCACTCTGAGAGGATGTAATTTTTGTAGTTAAGTCACAAATAGATAATTTACATGAACTTGCTCTGATCAAATAAGACTGAGCACTTAAAGTAAAAACAAAAAATGCTGAAATGAGTTCATTTTTCCAGAAAGTGCACAGTTTTTACATTTTTATGTTTCTGTGATTTTGTGTAAATGCTTCTTTAAAGTGAACTTTTCATTTCAACACTGTTAGCTGAAAATTATTATTTTCTTTTGGAGTTTCTTGTCTATCTTGATGATTAACTCTTTGATTCCTCTACCTTTTACTTCTAGACAAAAAAAAAGGATTGCTGATGCATCTGAAGCACTCAGACACAACTTTTGTTTCATTTTGTGATTTTTAAATGTGGTTTTAAATAAAAAAAAGACTTGTAAGACTAATATTTCCAAAAATGTGTCAATTTTCTAAGTGCACCTTTGTCCGCCTAGCATTCATCCACTTTATGTTTTACCTAGATTTCTTTTCATACTAATTTATTTCAGTTTGAAAATGACTTAATTTTAATGCAAAATGATTATTTAAAAGTAAAAGCTAGTGCTCTTCGGTGGTTTTAAAACTGAACTGGGTGAAGGGATCATCCCAGAAAGCAAATGTTAAAGTGAAAATTGGGCTGTACTATTATTATTATTATTTTGCAACAGACATCTTTCCGTTTGACATTTCTGAACTTGGATTACAGTGAAGAATTAACAGATGCAGATTAAACAATTATTAACTGAAAAACTTTGGTCCAAAAAATACATTACGGATAGACTGAAATTCTGCAGGATGAGCAGCAGAAGACAAATATGGAGTTATTTTATTTGATAACAGGTCCTCCTGCTGAACATAGAAGTCCATTGTTGAATAAAAGGACTAACAGGTCAGAACATTAACATTTTGGAGATGTGGTTAGGAAACGCAACAGATCTCAACCCCACTGAGGACGTAAATATTGACTCTTCACGTGAATGTGATATATTTGCTTACTTCCAAAAAAACCTTGAAAAATGCCTCTAAAAAATCTAAAATTTTTGGATCTACAAAACAGATTATATTCTATTTCCCCAAATAAGCAGATTAATCTAAAAAATCTAAAATTTTTGGATCTACAAAACAGATTATATTCTATTTTCCCCAAGTAAGAAGCTTAACTATACATTAACTGTTCATTCATTCATTCATTCATTCATTCATTCATTCATTCATTCATTCATCCATTCATCACAATATTATCAGAATATTTGTTGAGTCCCAAACTAAATTTGATTAAAAGAGCAAATGAAGAAATTTAAAGCAAATGGAATAGAATTCTCCATTGTATTTTTGATGTTTAACGGCGCCCTCTTCTGGCAGAAACGCAGATCGACTGAACGCCAGAGGGACTGTTGTGAAGCAGATGGAGGCCCGGTGAGTTGCCAGGTTTGACATAAACCTCAAAGCACAATGTGATGAAACATTTAAAAGAAAAATAAAGATACAGGAATAATGATGTATAGAATTAGACTATTATTAGAAATTATTTAAAAAAAAAAACTTTAAAATGCGAGAAACCAGTCATTAACGTCGTAAATAGAAGCTCACCTCATCTCCAGATTTGGGCGAACTATTTTGCCAGACATGGCGCCCCTCACAGACCAGGCACTCTGCGGCTGAATCGTTCAGCTTCTGTGCAGCTTTTGTTCAGCGGGCGTTGAACCAGGCATCAAGCAGACATCAACTACGCATTACACGGACACTAAACGAAACAAACGCATTCGTAAATGTAAAGCTAGCCTTGTTTGGTGAGGTCGGTGAGTATGGAGAGAACACTAACGGCTAACAGCTGCTGCTAACCACCGCTAAGCTAACGAGCTAACAATGTACATGTGATAAACTCGTTCAGAAAAAAAAATGTTTACAAATCCAAACGCTAATGACGACGTGAAGCTTTTGGGCTCATTTACTAGCTATGGCTTTGTTTTCTTCTCTGGCATGTTTGTTGTTTTCTACGTGCTATAATAGTTGCTCTGTTTATCCTGGTTAGGTTGTTGAAACACAAGCTGTTGTGGTCTTATAGCATTTCGGAAAAAGCTTATATTTAACAATAGAAGGATTTAAACTGGGTTATCTTTACCCCCACTTTGATTTCCTCTTATATGAGTGTATTACAGTGACATGTGGTTCGTACGTTTGGTGCAAAGCTAATTATTCGCTAGTAGTTGAACATATAAAGTAAGGCACTGCACATCTCTGGAGAACTGCAGTCGAGGTCCAGTACTTTGTATAAATGGCCTTGGAGGACATTTAATCAGCTCAGAAAGCAAATAAGACAATAATATTAGAAAATAAATAAATGAGAAATATCCACCCTTGCATGTTATGGTGAGATGATGACTGCCTTATGTCCAGAATGAGACCTATCAATGAACCTCTCTTTTATTCAGCCTGTTAGAGTTGTAAATATAGAATTTTTAGTTTGGCTTCTTTTTCTTCACATGATTTCTTAAAGTCTGCTCACAAACATTGCTATGTTGCTTTGAGTCTTCTCTGTCCTGATACTTTGATTTCTCCCATAGTCCACCCAGATGTCTCCTTACAATCTGAACAACTTTGTTTACTGATGCTCCACATGTCTGACCAAGCTTAACGGGAATGGCGACATCTTTGGGCATACTTTGTTTAATCACCTGCTTGAAGGAGATCCATCAACAACTGCTCTCATGCTCTCAGCTGTC